TGCCCGAGTCGCGCTAGGGGGGGGGTTCGGTATTACTTCCTAGGAGACGCAGCACGATACCGTCACGTACCGCGAGATGGGCGCCGCCGCGGGCGACGTGGGCGACGCCGAGTCCTACTAGAAGTAATCGCGGTCGTGCATCCCCCGCGGCCGGGGGCGCGCGGGCGGAGGCTGCTCCCCGCCGCAGCGCGGCGACGACCGCGTCCGGGCTCTCGGCGAGCGCAAAGAGGTCGATCGCGGCCGTCGGCCGGGCCCTCCTGCGTTTGCCGGTTCCCGTGACTGTCTCGTGCGTCGAGGTGATTTCGACGCGGTAGAGCCCCGGCGCGTTGGGCTGTACGCAGGTGTACGCGCAGCAGGGGATGAGGACGCCGAAGCCGACCGCGCAGGAGAGGGGGTCGGCCCAGATTGCGCGCTCGCCCCAGGGCACCGTGCACCGCGGCTCGCGCGCGTCGTCGTAGCGCGTGATGTGAACCTTGTCGACGTCGAAGCCGTCCCAGGCGATCGCCTGCGTCTCCTGTCCCGTCGCCTCGCCGTCGCCGACGACGCCGTGCTCAGTGACGATGAGCGCGCGCGACGCGCGCGCCGGGAACGGAGCGTCGGCGTGCGGTCGCGCCCACGCATTGAAGGCCATCGGCCCCATCCACACGCAGGGCGCGAAGATGACGGCGTGGAGGCACCACGGAACCGTACACAGGATCGGCACGAAGCCGAATGCGCCGTCCAAGGTGCCCGGTCGCCCCGCGCAGACGTGGACGCTTCGCTTCGCTTCGTTCGCCATCGCGAAACGCTCGGCGTCGATCGCGAAAACTTGGAGTACAGCATCCGTCGCCGCGACGCCGAAGGTCATCCCATTCCCGCGCACGTACGTGATCTCCGAGGCGACGAGGTCGGCTAAAAGCGGCGACTCTACGCGCTGCACGTCGAGGACCGTGGCGATGGGGGCGGCAGCGACGAATTGAGAGCCGTCGAGCACCGTCGCCGTGGGCATGTCTTTGGTGAGCCTGAAGCTGGGCATGGTGTCTCGGATCTCGGACGACTTAAGGGGCTTATCCAGAATCGCGGGGCGCCCGCGCCGCTTTGAAGGGACGAGGATGCAGATTTTTTTGCCACAGAATTGTCAAAAATGAGCGATCGCAAAGCATAAATACTGTATCGAGCCTCCCCCACAATCCTACAACCACCAGATGCACGTTATCGCCACCCGCCTAACCGCGCCTGCTGGCCGAGGACGAAGGACGCCTTCAGACCCGCCCGCGGCGGCGGCGGCCGCGGCGA